TAATCATTTCTGTTCAAAATGTATACATCAGATTGTTTTGTTTAGCCACCATGTTCTGATAATTTGACAGGAACATTAATTTCGGAAATAATGATTATATCATTAAACCATCTACATCACTGATTGAAATATAGATTTAAAATGAAAATAAGTGAATGATATATAGTCAAAAAGAGCAATTGACCAATGATGATGGCTGCCATTAATGCCAGTTTTTCTATATAGATATTTTGAAAGAAAAAAAAATTAAAGTAGCAAATGTTTTAAGTTTTATATTTGGTTCAATATTTTTGAACTTATTTTGTTTTTGTTTCAGATACCAGCCCCAGGATATTTACGTCGGAACAGGTAAAGTATGAATCGGAAAGTAAGTATATTTTTTTTTTATTTATTAATAGTTGTCCTATAGATATTAAAATAATTTGAATATGTATTGCAGATAGACGGCAGCCCAGAGAGAAGAAGAAAATACAGTCCTAAACCTGGAGACGATTAAATTGAAGATGTCTTGATGGCTAGATGATGATGTAGGTATTTTGTCATTACAATTGTACTTAAACTGTTAATAAGTTTTAAGGTAATAAAATCAGTTTTCCCTGGAGAAACAGCTTGAAAATTTATTACAAATTAGTCGAAATTTTCTTTTTCAAATTTATACTCTAATGAAATATATTTTAATAAAAAAGTATACTTGTATTCCAATTTAGGATTTGAATTAAAACATGCATCACATTAATTTCTGAATTAATTATAACAGCAAATAGTCTCTTAACATTGACAATTTGGAAACCCTTTCTCTAATAGTCTCACCTGAACGAAAGTAAAGTTTCAGATTGTCAATTTGGATATCTACATATTTAGTCGATTTTTTTAAAGTAATTTGGAAAATATGACTTGATTTAGATTGTTTGAAATTCAGTTGAATTTTAATCATTTCTGTTCAAAATGTATACATCAGATTGTTTTGTTTAGCCACCATGTTCTGATAATTTGACAGGAACATTAATTTCGGAAATAATGATTATATCATTAAACCATCTACATCACTGATTGAAATATAGATTTAAAATGAAAATAAGTGAATGATATATAGTCAAAAAGAGCAATTGACCAATGATGATGGCTGCCATTAATGCCAGTTTTTCTATATAGATATTTTGAAAGAAAAAAAAATTAAAGTAGCAAATGTTTTAAGTTTTATATTTGGTTCAATATTTTTGAACTTATTTTGTTTTTGTTTCAGATACCAGCCCCAGGATATTTACGTCGGAACAGGTAAAGTATGAATCGGAAAGTAAGTATATATTTTTTTTATTTATTAATAGTTGTCCTATAGATATTAAAATAATTTGAATATGTATTGCAGATAGACGGCAGCCCAGAGAGAAGAAGAAAATACAGTCCTAAACCTGGAGACGATTAAATTGAAGATGTCTTGATGGCTAGATGATGATGTAGGTATTTTGTCATTACAATTGTACTTAAACTGTTAATAAGTTTTAAGGTAATAAAATCAGTTTTCCCTGGAGAAACAGCTTGAAAATTTATTACAAATTAGTCGAAATTTTCTTTTTCAAATTTATACTCTAATGAAATATATTTTAATAAAAAAGTATACTTGTATTCCAATTTAGGATTTGAATTAAAACATGCATCACATTAATTTCTGAATTAATTATAACAGCAAATAGTCTCTTAACATTGACAATTTGGAAACCCTTTCTCTAATAGTCTCACCTGAACGAAAGTAAAGTTTCCGATTGTCAATTTGGATATCTACATATTCAGTAGATTTTTTTAAAGTAATTTGGAAAATATGACTTGATTTAGATTGTTTGAAATTCAGTTCAATTTTAATCATTTCTGTTCAAAATGTATACATCAGATTGTTTTGGTTAGCCACCAACTTCTGTTATTTGACAGGAACATTAATTTCGGAAATAATGATTATATCATTTAACCATCTTCATTACTGATTGAAATATAGATTTAAAATGAAAATAAGTGAATGATATATAGTCAAAAAGAGCAATTGACCAATGATGATGGCTGCCATTAATGCCAGTTTTTCTATATAGATATTTTGAAAGAAAAAAAAATTAAAGTAGCAAATGTTTTAAGTTTTATATTTGGTTCAATATTTTTGAACTTATTTTGTTTTTGTTTCAGATACCAGCCCCAGGATATTTACGTCGGAACAGGTAAAGTATGAATCGGAAAGTAAGTATATTTTTTTTTTATTTATTAATAGTTGTCCTATAGATATTAAAATAATTTGAATATGTATTGCAGATAGACGGCAGCCCAGAGAGAAGAAGAAAATACAGTCCTAAACCTGGAGACGATTAAATTGAAGATGTCTTGATGGCTAGATGATGATGTAGGTATTTTGTCATTACAATTGTACTTAAACTGTTAATAAGTTTTAAGGTAATAAAATCAGTTTTCCCTGGAGAAACAGCTTGAAAATTTATTACAAATTAATCGAAATTTTCTTTTTCAAATTTATACTCTAATGAAATATATTTTAATAAAAAAGTATACTTGTATTCCAATTTAGGATTTGAATTAAAACATGCATCACATTAATTTCTGAATTAATTATAACAGCAAATAGTCTCTTAACATTGACAATTTGGAAACCCTTTCTCTAATAGTCTCACCTGAACGAAAGTAAAGTTTCAGATTGTCAATTTGGATATCTACATATTTAGTCGATTTTTTTAAAGTAATTTGGAAAATATGACTTGATTTAGATTGTTTGAAATTCAGTTCAATTTTAATCATTTCTGTTCAAAATGTATACATCAGATTGTTTTGGTTAGCCACCAACTTCTGTTATTTGACAGGAACATTAATTTCGGAAATAATGATTATATCATTTAACCATCTTCATTACTGATTGAAATATAGATTTAAAATGAAAATAAGTGAATGATATATAGTCAAAAAGAGCAATTGACCAATGATGATGGCTGCCATTAATGCCAGTTTTTCTATATAGATATTTTGAAAGAAAAAAAAATTAAAGTAGCAAATGTTTTAAGTTTTATATTTGGTTCAATATTTTTGAACTTATTTTGTTTTTGTTTCAGATACCAGCCCCAGGATATTTACGTCGGAACAGGTAAAGTATGAATCGGAAAGTAAGTATATTTTTTTTTTATTTATTAATAGTTGTCCTATAGATATTAAAATAATTTGAATATGTATTGCAGATAGACGGCAGCCCAGAGAGAAGAAGAAAATACAGTCCTAAACCTGGAGACGATTAAATTGAAGATGTCTTGATGGCTAGATGATGATGTAGGTATTTTGTCATTACAATTGTACTTAAACTGTTAATAAGTTTTAAGGTAATAAAATCAGTTTTCCCTGGAGAAACAGCTTGAAAATTTATTACAAATTAGTCGAAATTTTCTTTTTCAAATTTATACTCTAATGAAATATATTTTAATAAAAAAGTATACTTGTATTCCAATTTAGGATTTGAATTAAAACATGCATCACATTAATTTCTGAATTAATTATAACAGCAAATAGTCTCTTAACATTGACAATTTGGAAACCCTTTCTCTAATAGTCTCACCTGAACGAAAGTAAAGTTTCCGATTGTCAATTTGGATATCTACATATTTAGTCGATTTTTTTAAAGTAATTTGGAAAATATGACTTGATTTAGATTGTTTGAAATTCAGTTGAATTTTAATCATTTCTGTTCAAAATGTATACATCAGATTGTTTTGTTTAGCCACCATGTTCTGATAATTTGACAGGAACATTAATTTCGGAAATAATGATTATATCATTAAACCATCTACATCACTGATTGAAATATAGATTTAAAATGAAAATAAGTGAATGATATATAGTCAAAAAGAGCAATTGACCAATGATGATGGCTGCCATTAATGCCAGTTTTTCTATATAGATATTTTGAAAGAAAAAAAAATTAAAGTAGCAAATGTTTTAAGTTTTATATTTGGTTCAATATTTTTGAACTTATTTTGTTTTTGTTTCAGATACCAGCCCCAGGATATTTACGTCGGAACAGGTAAAGTATGAATCGGAAAGTAAGTATATTTTTTTTTTATTTATTAATAGTTGTCCTATAGATATTAAAATAATTTGAATATGTATTGCAGATAGACGGCAGCCCAGAGAGAAGAAGAAAATACAGTCCTAAACCTGGAGACGATTAAATTGAAGATGTCTTGATGGCTAGATGATGATGTAGGTATTTTGTCATTACAATTGTACTTAAACTGTTAATAAGTTTTAAGGTAATAAAATCAGTTTTCCCTGGAGAAACAGCTTGAAAATTTATTACAAATTAGTCGAAATTTTCTTTTTCAAATTTATACTCTAATGAAATATATTTTAATAAAAAAGTATACTTGTATTCCAATTTAGGATTTGAATTAAAACATGCATCACATTAATTTCTGAATTAATTATAACAGCAAATAGTCTCTTAACATTGACAATTTGGAAACCCTTTCTCTAATAGTCTCACCTGAACGAAAGTAAAGTTTCAGATTGTCAATTTGGATATCTACATATTTAGTCGATTTTTTTAAAGTAATTTGGAAAATATGACTTGATTTAGATTGTTTGAAATTCAGTTGAATTTTAATCATTTCTGTTCAAAATGTATACATCAGATTGTTTTGTTTAGCCACCATGTTCTGATAATTTGACAGGAACATTAATTTCGGAAATAATGATTATATCATTAAACCATCTACATCACTGATTGAAATATAGATTTAAAATGAAAATAAGTGAATGATATATAGTCAAAAAGAGCAATTGACCAATGATGATGGCTGCCATTAATGCCAGTTTTTCTATATAGATATTTTGAAAGAAAAAAAAATTAAAGTAGCAAATGTTTTAAGTTTTATATTTGGTTCAATATTTTTGAACTTATTTTGTTTTTGTTTCAGATACCAGCCCCAGGATATTTACGTCGGAACAGGTAAAGTATGAATCGGAAAGTAAGTATATTTTTTTTTTATTTATTAATAGTTGTCCTATAGATATTAAAATAATTTGAATATGTGTTGCAGATAGACGGCAGCCCAGAGAGAAGAAGAAAATACAGTCCTAAACCTGGAGACGATTAAATTGAAGATGTCTTGATGGCTAGATGATGATGTAGGTATTTTGTCATTACAATTGTACTTAAACTGTTAATAAGTTTTAAGGTAATAAAATCAGTTTTCCCTGGAGAAACAGCTTGAAAATTTATTACAAATTAGTCGAAATTTTCTTTTTCAAATTTATACTCTAATGAAATATATTTTAATAAAAAAGTATACTTGTATTCCAATTTAGGATTTGAATTAAAACATGCATCACATTAATTTCTGAATTAATTATAACAGCAAATAGTCTCTTAACATTGACAATTTGGAAACCCTTTCTCTAATAGTCTCACCTGAACGAAAGTAAAGTTTCCGATTGTCAATTTGGATATCTACATATTCAGTAGATTTTTTTAAAGTAATTTGGAAAATATGACTTGATTTAGATTGTTTGAAATTCAGTTGAATTTTAATCATTTCTGTTCAAAATGTATACATCAGATTGTTTTGTTTAGCCACCATGTTCTGATAATTTGACAGGAACATTAATTTCGGAAATAATGATTATATCATTAAACCATCTACATCACTGATTGAAATATAGATTTAAAATGAAAATAAGTGAATGATATATAGTCAAAAAGAGCAATTGACCAATGATGATGGCTGCCATTAATGCCAGTTTTTCTATATAGATATTTTGAAAGAAAAAAAAATTAAAGTAGCAAATGTTTTAAGTTTTATATTTGGTTCAATATTTTTGAACTTATTTTGTTTTTGTTTCAGATACCAGCCCCAGGATATTTACGTCGGAACAGGTAAAGTATGAATCGGAAAGTAAGTATATTTTTTTTTTATTTATTAATAGTTGTCCTATAGATATTAAAATAATTTGAATATGTATTGCAGATAGACGGCAGCCCAGAGAGAAGAAGAAAATACAGTCCTAAACCTGGAGACGATTAAATTGAAGATGTCTTGATGGCTAGATGATGATGTAGGTATTTTGTCATTACAATTGTACTTAAACTGTTAATAAGTTTTAAGGTAATAAAATCAGTTTTCCCTGGAGAAACAGCTTGAAAATTTATTACAAATTAGTCGAAATTTTCTTTTTCAAATTTATACTCTAATGAAATATATTTTAATAAAAAAGTATACTTGTATTCCAATTTAGGATTTGAATTAAAACATGCATCACATTAATTTCTGAATTAATTATAACAGCAAATAGTCTCTTAACATTGACAATTTGGAAACCCTTTCTCTAATAGTCTCACCTGAACGAAAGTAAAGTTTCAGATTGTCAATTTGGATATCTACATATTTAGTCGATTTTTTTAAAGTAATTTGGAAAATATGACTTGATTTAGATTGTTTGAAATTCAGTTGAATTTTAATCATTTCTGTTCAAAATGTATACATCAGATTGTTTTGTTTAGCCACCATGTTCTGATAATTTGACAGGAACATTAATTTCGGAAATAATGATTATATCATTAAACCATCTACATCACTGATTGAAATATAGATTTAAAATGAAAATAAGTGAATGATATATAGTCAAAAAGAGCAATTGACCAATGATGATGGCTGCCATTAATGCCAGTTTTTCTATATAGATATTTTGAAAGAAAAAAAAATTAAAGTAGCAAATGTTTTAAGTTTTATATTTGGTTCAATATTTTTGAACTTATTTTGTTTTTGTTTCAGATACCAGCCCCAGGATATTTACGTCGGAACAGGTAAAGTATGAATCGGAAAGTAAGTATATTTTTTTTTTATTTATTAATAGTTGTCCTATAGATATTAAAATAATTTGAATATGTATTGCAGATAGACGGCAGCCCAGAGAGAAGAAGAAAATACAGTCCTAAACCTGGAGACGATTAAATTGAAGATGTCTTGATGGCTAGATGATGATGTAGGTATTTTGTCATTACAATTGTACTTAAACTGTTAATAAGTTTTAAGGTAATAAAATCAGTTTTCCCTGGAGAAACAGCTTGAAAATTTATTACAAATTAGTCGAAATTTTCTTTTTCAAATTTATACTCTAATGAAATATATTTTAATAAAAAAGTATACTTGTATTCCAATTTAGGATTTGAATTAAAACATGCATCACATTAATTTCTGAATTAATTATAACAGCAAATAGTCTCTTAACATTGACAATTTGGAAACCCTTTCTCTAATAGTCTCACCTGAACGAAAGTAAAGTTTCAGATTGTCAATTTGGATATCTACATATTCAGTAGATTTTTTTTAAAGTAATTTGGAAAATATGACTTGATTTAGATTGTTTGAAATTCAGTTGAATTTTAATCATTTCTGTTCAAAATGTATACATCAGATTGTTTTGTTTAGCCACCATGTTCTGATAATTTGACAGGAACATTAATTTCGGAAATAATGATTATATCATTAAACCATCTACATCACTGATTGAGATATAGATTTAAAATGAAAATAAGTGAATGATATATAGTCAAAAAGAGCAATTGACCAATGATGATGGCTGCCATTAATGCCAGTTTTTCTATATAGATATTTTGAAAGAAAAAAAAATTAAAGTAGCAAATGTTTTAAGTTTTATATTTGGTTCAATATTTTTGAACTTATTTTGTTTTTGTTTCAGATACCAGCCCCAGGATATTTACGTCGGAACAGGTAAAGTATGAATCGGAAAGTAAGTATATTTTTTTTTTATTTATTAATAGTTGTCCTATAGATATTAAAATAATTTGAATATGTATTGCAGATAGACGGCAGCCCAGAGAGAAGAAGAAAATACAGTCCTAAACCTGGAGACGATTAAATTGAAGATGTCTTGATGGCTAGATGATGATGTAGGTATTTTGTCATTACAATTGTACTTAAACTGTTAATAAGTTTTAAGGTAATAAAATCAGTTTTACTGGAGAAACAGCTTGAAAATTTATTACAAATTAGTCGAAATTTTCTTTTTCAAATTTATACTCTAATGAAATATATTTTAATAAAAAAGTATACTTGTATTCCAATTTAGGATTTGAATTAAAACATGCATCACATTAATTTCTGAATTAATTATAACAGCAAATAGTCTCTTAACATTGACAATTTGGAAACCCTTTCTCTAATAGTCTCACCTGAACGAAAGTAAAGTTTCCGATTGTCAATTTGGATATCTACATATTCAGTAGATTTTTTTAAAGTAATTTGGAAAATATGACTTGATTTAGATTGTTTGAAATTCAGTTCAATTTTAATCATTTCTGTTCAAAATGTATACATCAGATTGTTTTGGTTAGCCACCAACTTCTGTTATTTGACAGGAACATTAATTTCGGAAATAATGATTATATCATTTAACCATCTTCATTACTGATTGAAAATGAAAATAAGTGAATGATATATAGTCAAAAAGAGCAATTGACCAATGATGATGGCTGCCATTAATGCCAGTTTTTCTATATAGATATTTTGAAAGAAAAAAAAATTAAAGTAGCAAATGTTTTAAGTTTTATATTTGGTTCAATATTTTTGAACTTATTTTGTTTTTGTTTCAGATACCAGCCCCAGGATATTTACGTCGGAACAGGTAAAGTATGAATCGGAAAGTAAGTATATTTTTTTTTTATTTATTAATAGTTGTCCTATAGATATTAAAATAATTTGAATATGTATTGCAGATAGACGGCAGCCCAGAGAGAAGAAGAAAATACAGTCCTAAACCTGGAGACGATTAAATTGAAGATGTCTTGATGGCTAGATGATGATGTAGGTATTTTGTCATTACAATTGTACTTAAACTGTTAATAAGTTTTAAGGTAATAAAATCAGTTTTACTGGAGAAACAGCTTGAAAATTTATTACAAATTAGTCGAAATTTTCTTTTTCAAATTTATACTCTAATGAAATATATTTTAATAAAAAAGTATACTTGTATTCCAATTTAGGATTTGAATTAAAACATGCATCACATTAATTTCTGAATTAATTATAACAGCAAATAGTCTCTTAACATTGACAATTTTGAAACCCTTTCTCTAATAGTCTCACCTGAACGAAAGTAAAGTTTCCGATTGTCAATTTGGATATCTACATATTCAGTAGATTTTTTTAAAGTAATTTGGAAAATATGACTTGATTTAGATTGTTTGAAATTCAGTTCAATTTTAATCATTTCTGTTCAAAATGTATACATCAGATTGTTTTGTTTAGCCACCATGTTCTGATAATTTGACAGGAACATTAATTTCGGAAATAATGATTATATCATTTAACCATCTTCATTACTGATTGAAATATAGATTTAAAATGAAAATAAGTGAATGATATATAGTCAAAAAGAGCAATTGACCAATGATGATGGCTGCCATTAATGCCAGTTTTTCTATATAGATATTTTGAAAGAAAAAAAAATTAAAGTAGCAAATGTTTTAAGTTTTATATTTGGTTCAATATTTTTGAACTTATTTTGTTTTTGTTTCAGATACCAGCCCCAGGATATTTACGTCGGAACAGGTAAAGTATGAATCGGAAAGTAAGTATATTTTTTTTTTATTTATTAATAGTTGTCCTATAGATATTAAAATAATTTGAATATGTATTGCAGATAGACGGCAGCCCAGAGAGAAGAAGAAAATACAGTCCTAAACCTGGAGACGATTAAATTGAAGATGTCTTGATGGCTAGATGATGATGTAGGTATTTTGTCATTACAATTGTACTTAAACTGTTAATAAGTTTTAAGGTAATAAAATCAGTTTTCCCTGGAGAAACAGCTTGAAAATTTATTACAAATTAGTCGAAATTTTCTTTTTCAAATATATACTCTAATGAAATATATTTTAATAAAAAAGTATACTTGTATTCCAATTTAGGATTTGAATTAAAACATGCATCACATTAATTTCTGAATTAATTATAACAGCAAATAGTCTCTTAACATTGACAATTTGGAAACCCTTTCTCTAATAGTCTCACCTGAACGAAAGTAAAGTTTCAGATTGTCAATTTGGATATCTACATATTTAGTCGATTTTTTTAAAGTAATTTGGAAAATATGACTTGATTTAGATT